GGACAGAGTAGAACTGCCCCCTTTGAATTCCTCAGGCTTTAAATCTTCAGCAGCAGCTCCATCTTTCTCCAGTGGAGTGACTGGGTTTCAACGGCTGGCCTTGCAGCTAGTATCGCAACTCATGACCCACTGTGTCCCTAGGGCTCCTGCGATGGATTAAAGGTGGCTACAATTCCTGTGTCAGTTCTCCTATTGAGAGATAAAGTTGAGTATCGGCCCTGGGATTTGCGTCTGCATATGCTGTCCTGAGCTTAGAATACTCTTTGCAACCCAGCTGCCATGCTGTGAGGACCCAATCTGAAGGTACCAGTGGGAAACTGAGACGATATGGCAAAAACCCCAGCTGAACTTCTAACTTGAAAACTATTACTATCACTAAATGCCAGCCGCTTTCCCTCATGCTCCATTTTTATTCATTCCTCACATGCTTCCTAGTCTCCATCTTCTCCCACTTTGGGCCCAGAAAGTAGGACTACAACATTCCTTTTTTGTCTATGAAAACTCAAAACCTTTTTTGTCAAGAATGTTTATAGATGCCTTGTCTTGACCAGATAAGATCTACTTGTCTATAAAACTGCGTATGTCTTTAGCCTGTTTCTAGGACCTCAAGAGAGTAATCATGCCAAGACTAGTTCCTGGATTGTGAGATGTGGAACAGAAATCATACATTTGAGGTAGGTTTTCTGAGAACAATCTGTATGATTCCATTCAACCAATAGTTATTTAACACCGTTGCTGAGGTATAATTAACATGTAGTAAGCTATACATATTTAAGGTATATAATGTGGTTTCAGTTCTATAATTAGATGCACAGTTTTGACACACATACACACACCTGTGTGTATAATTAAGGTAATGATCATATCTGTTTACCACAAAAGTCTCCTCGTGCCTCTTGGTAATCATTAGGATTTAACCAAAAGAACTTAAACAGAATAAACTTCCTCTAAATTTAAAAAAGAAAAAGAAAAAAGTAAAAGAAAAACTGTAAAAGTTTTCGAAAAAACCATAGGTGTAATAATTTGGGACCTTGGTTTTAAACAATAAATTCTTACAGAAGACTGGAAAAGTATGGCCAACAAGACACAAAATAGTTAAACTGGACTTCATAAAAGCAAACAAATTTTTGCAAATCAAAGAGCTTTATCAACAACGTGCAGAGAAGATCTTCATATTCTGAGAAAATGTTTGGAATAAAGGTTTGGTATTCATAATATATGAAGAACTCCTAGACATTAACAGCAATAAAAACAAATCAATCAATGAATAAAAAATTGTTTAAAGAATTTGAATAAACATTTGACCTCAAAAGATATACAAGTGGCCAAATGCAAAGATATTTAAACAGATTCATTAAGGAAATGCAACTGGAACTGCAATGAGATATCCATTTATCCCTACTATGATGTTGTCCTAGGCTGGGTTCTCTAGAGAAGCCAAACTAATGACACGTATATTAAATAAAACTCATGCTATTGAATGGATTATGACACATCTCAAACCTATAGGACAGAGTAGACTGTCCCTGTGGGTGTCTGAGACTGTAACTCTTTTTTTCTTTATCTTTTTCTTTTGTAACTGGCATTTTATTGGTTGTTTTGAGATCAGTACAGAGATATTATGAGCAATTTGTACACAATTCTTAATGCATGTGCCAAAATCCTAAAATGACATGTATATACTATTCATTTCTTAATTCCAGTGACTTTCCAGCTTTAAGTTTGGAAGCAATGTTTTAAAGGATGTTATCATGTACCGTCATCTTCAAATGTAGATAAGCTGTTACTCTAATTCACAATTTAATGTCTCGCACACACAACACACAAATGTTCAATCCTTCACAGCACATAACAAAGTGATCAGGAAAGCTGGACTACCTGACCAAAGGTGATACAGAATGCACATACTTCTGACAAGAGAACCATGATGGCAGAGTGGTTTTCAGACACAACTCTATTTTTTAAAAAACCTATTGAAACAAAATTTTAAATGTTCAAGTCATACCAATGCATGACAGTGACTCCAAGTTGCCCTTGAGTATGTTTTGCATTAAAAAAACCCAAACTCTCCCCATCCCATGGAATGGTATGCTGACACCCCAAACAGTCAGCTCTGCCTACAATTCAACACCCCACACTTTTCTAGTTGTACCCAAAATAAACAACCAGTAAGTGATTTAATGTCTTAAAAGAAAAACCAAAAACCAGGCATTCACACTAAAAATAAACTAAAATTGGGGTAAGTGGGATTTCCGTCTTTACAATGTTTCTAGAGCTACTAAAAAATTGCATTTACAAAATAGCTGATACAGTATTCCTCTGGATCATACAGGAAGAGATAACAGGGCCCACTGATAAGGCATGGTAGATAAATTTTAATCAGACTTGGCTGCTTTTTCTCCGGCTTCATCAGAGGCTAGACTCTCGTTTTTTGCTTCTCCATTTCAGCAGGTAATTCTTCTTTAGTTTCTTGGTTAGTTGCTTTCACCCTGCTTTCCCTTTGCTCCCCTTTCCCCTTTGGCTTGTACTTTTTTTTGGTCTGAAGATTTATCCTTCCCTGCTGCCTTTTGGGGCTTCATTTCCACTTTTGCAGACACAGGTTTTGCTGATCTCCTCTTGGGCTCCTCCTTCACTGCCTGGTGGCGGCTGGGTTGACGTTCCTTTTGGGCATCTTGACTGGGAAGGGCGTTTGCCTAATGCTAGGGGATCTCGGGGTCCAGAGAGCTTTCTCGAAACTAGGTTGTCTGGCCGCTGCAACTCTGCTGGCAGCTGGAGCTGCTAGGACCAGTGGGTGGGAGAACCGCTGGGAGCATGTTTATATCTTGCATTTACATGTATCTAAAAAAGTATTTCCCCAAATTATCTGAGGCCAACAGATTTACCCAAATCTCTTGTTCTTTATTTTAAAACAAGGGCACAATCTGTGGTTTTGACTAGTATTATCCGTTTTAACCACAATGAAAAAGCTATTGAGTTTTCTTATTTTTTGCAGCCTGGCCACATTTCAGGGATCTAGAAAAACTAATCTCACCACTTGTGTACATATAATGTCCTCTAAGCCAGCGAAGCAGAAATATCACATCAATTTATTTTGGACATGCAGAGAACGCTGCGATTCCCCACACAAATTAGCAAATGAGGTGCTGTGAAATACAAAGTTAGAGAATGACAATGTTCTCCCTTTTCTTAATCTGTTCTTCTAAGGAGGTGCATATAGAATAAAATACAGTAAAATTGAATTAATTCGCATTGTACTCCTTTGTAATTTATGTAATTCAGCGAAAAGCAGGTATGTGTTTAAATTTTTCAATATTTCTCTGTTTAGTGTTCATTTACAAGAAGGAAATTTTGCTATATACTAGCATTTTTTTTATCTACTAACATTTCTAACCCCTTCTATACACAAATATCTCATATATTAATGGGAAATTTATATCTAAAATTAAAATGAATCTCCAGAGGTCCTAAATTAGATTCAACCGTGGTTCTAATTACAGTCATACCAGTAATTTCAGTTGGTACTTGAAAGCAGTTAAAGTATCTTTCAAAGAGAACTTCCAAAAGCTCCACTTTTCAGTAACTGAACCTGGCTTTCCAGTTTGTCAGAAGAAGTGAGGTTGAATAAATATTCATTTTCTTTGGGGAATCAGGTGGGCGATTAGAACACTGAGACTAGAGCCAAACTGCCTAAAGACAAATCCTGACTTCACTATGTAGAAGCTTGGTGACTTCTTAGGAAAGTAATGTACCCACTCTGTACTTTAGGTTCTTCTTGTGCAAAATGTGAGTACTAATAGTACATCAGTACTCACTATACAAATTTTTCATAATTCACAACTACAATTTATTTAAACTCAAAAACTCTACAGGACAGTGTAGAATAGCCCCCATGGGTGTCCGCAGCTGCTAAATCTGAACCCAAATGGAAAGCCACATCTTTCTTTTGAGGAGTGGCTAGTCATTCCCAACTGCTGCCCTTTTCGGTAGCAGCAAGATGGAAAACCACTCTTCCACTAGAACGCTTTGAAATGAAGTCATCAGAGCTTCCCTGTATACACTACTTAGGGTCTTGCAATGGTTCCTACAGTATGATGCTGGCTATGGTTTCCTGGAGAATGTATTTTATTGTCGTGCAGTAATTTCATTGTATTAAAATCAAAGAGTTAATAGACAAAAATAATACCAGATAAAATATGGAGAGGTGGGGTAAAGTCCAAATTTGTGTGCTGTGGAAGGTCCCGAGAGGCAACACTATCACAAAGGAATCCAGTAACATGAGTAATCTCAAAAAGCTAAATCACACAAACACTAGGGTTTCCTGAATCAGACAGATTACTATAAATCTACAATCCCTAGACTCCTCCCTCAGGAAGTCAAACCAGCCCTCCCATGCACGTGAACACTATGAACTTGGGCACTGTGATTAATGAGATCCTGTCATTTTGTGGATGCTTTAGCCGAATGGGAGGCACATCCTGGTCAAATCTGCATTACTGATTTGTACAGCCCTGGAGCACGCGGTCCTTGTACTCTGTGGTCTACCCGACTGTAGTCATGGGGTAGACTCAGCCATTCTCGATATGAGGGCATTTCAGACTGCAGATCCTTGTTGGTTACTTGACTCCTTCCGTCAGGTGGCCCCCTACTGGCTTCTGGCGTGTGGAAGAGTCAGTGCTCAAATTTACTTAGTGTACTGTGTGGGTTATATGACATCCTATGCTTATAAAATTGGCTCCGTTCTCTCAGAACATTAAGACTGAGAACTCAAGAGTCTTGAAGGGAATGTTCCCTAGGAGTCACAGGACATAGATGCGGCGGGAGCGGGGGCAGGGAGGGCGGGGCGGGGAGGAGGAGCCTGGGAAGGGGAGGGACCGGAAGTCCAGCAGTCACGTGACATTTGTTGGCACCGTGCTAGGCCACGCCCCATAAAACAGTTGAAAGGCTTCTGAGGAAAGAAAGCGACTTCAGGAGACAGACGCTTAAGATGGAGACCTCAGAAGGGTTCTGAGCGTCGCTTGAGGCCGGGTTTTGATCAGATTGGCTCCAACCCAGATCTTTCCATTAACTTTTACATCTTACCGTGGTGAGTCCACTGTCGGAGGGATGAAGGCGCGTACCGGTAGTTTCCACACAGAATTGCGTGTGAGGGAACTAAGGAGGGGCTCAATGGCGGGTGGGGGTGGGCTGCTGAGGACGAGGTCTGGGCCGACAGGAAATAGCCTGAGGAGATTGTGTGGAAGTTGCAGGCCTTCCGAATGTGGTGAAATTTTGTTCGCCTGGTAGAGAAAACTGGTAGATGTGTATAACCCAACCCCGGCTTCTCAGGCGCTGTTACTTGTAGAGAGAAAAGTGGAAGAAGACAAAGACCCACAAGAGGAAGTATGTTGTTCCTGAATTTGTAGATCTTTGTCATAGGTCATGTGTGAGGAGAAGACCTCTCTTTCTTGCCCTCACAATAAAACTTTGCCCTCGGCTATCACCCTGTCAGATTGTGTGGTGCCCACGAGGACCGCTTCTCCCCTCCCCCCACCCTTCCCGCCCTTTCTCTGGTCAAATTTTTGTTAAGGACACCGGAAACAGTTTCAAACTTAATCTTAATTTTGTGACTTAATCAATTCTACCAAAATTCTCCTTCCTTTCCTTTCCCAGTCAGCATTCTAAACTTAGGGAAACCAGAAAGTTGAGAGAAAACACATGTATTTAATGTTTCATAAAACTGTTAAAGTAAACTAATGAAGATTCCAAAATTTTTTTTACATTTAATTAGAGGTTTGTAGTGTCACCATATTTTTTTGAGGTAAATATATTTTTAAAAACATTTTATTAGGGGCTCATACAATTGTTACCGCAATCTATACACACATCAATTGTGTGAAGCACATTTGTACATCATTCTCAAAACATTTTCTCTCCACTTAAACCCCCGACATTAGGCCCTCATTTTACCCCTCCCTCCCCGCTCCCCCTTCCCTCATGAGCCCTTGATAGTTTATAAATTGGTATTTTGTCATATCTTGCCCTGTCCGATGCGAAGTCTCCCTTCATCCACTTCTCGGCTGTCTGTCCCCAGGGAGGAGGTCACATATAGTTCCCTGTAATCGGTTCCCTCTTTCCTACCCACTCTCTCTCTACCCTCCCCGTCTCGCCACCCACACCACTGGTCCTGCGGGGCTCATCCGCCCTGGATTCCCTGTATTTTCAGCTCCTATCTGTACCAGTGTACATCCTCTGGTCTAGCCAGACTTGCAAGGTCGAATTCGAGTCATGGTAATGGGAGCGGGGAGGAAACATTTAGGAACTAGAGGAAAGTTGTATTTCTCATCGTTGTTACATAGCACCCTGACTGACTCATTTCCTCCCCAAGACTCCTCTGCAAGGGGATCTCTAGTGGCCTACTAATGGGCTTTGGGTCTCCACTTCGCACTCCCCCCATCATTCACTGTCACCATAATATTTTTGTGCTTCAGATTTGTTTCAGAATTCAAATAGCTTAAATTAGAAATTAGCGCCCCCTCAGACGCTGAATGTGCCCCCTCACCAACCCCACCCTCTTGTGATTTTCTAAGCATGATTTTTTGGACCTCTTTGAAAACTTCCTGCTTTCCCTGAAGTGGAAAATTATAATGATTTAACTTCAGAAAAGCTTTTAAGTAAAAATATGATGCAATATTTTTAACATCATGGAAATGGTGCTGAGTGAACAAAATTTAATAAATATGATTGTACTTGCATTTATGAGGACTGTAAATAGAGTGTGATAGCTGGTTAAAGAAGATTGTCACTTGTGATCATTTATACTACATGCAACTTACATAATCCACTTTCTTTTCTCTCATTTCAGCATTTGCACATTTGTTCTACAAAACTCTGGGTCTGAGATACCACCACAACAAAAATGTACTCAACAGCAAAGAATTTTAGGACATACAGAACTGAAGGTAAAAGGACTTGCACACTGTAGAAATTTTTAGATCATATGTTAGTTTTCAACATGAATCTCAAAGGAAGTGTAGTTTCCCCAAGAGCATTTGAAGTACTAAGGTTCTTCAAAAAAAATATTTTGGGAAGCATTGTTCTACCTTGAGCCTTTGTTCACTAACAATGATGGAATATATGTTGACTAATAATTATAGTTTGCTATTCTCATTAATAAATTATGCATTATCCTTTAATTTTATCCTGTTTTATTGATTAGTCTTCTACTTTGTGGGGGTGGTCAGATGCGCAGGCATTCCCCCCAGTTGCCAGACTGCTGTCTCATCCCTCCCACAGGGGTGGGCGTGCTCCCTGCCTCTGGAGACAATGGACAGGCTCCTGTAGGCGGAGTTTGCACCCTACTGATAATGTTCCTATGGAGACCCAGAGACCACCCTCTCATTACTGGGTATCCTATAGTGTAACCCCTACCTGTGACGTATGTCTCTACCTGTAATTAGTGGACTGGCATGCCCCCAAAAGGTATATAGGCATGGGTCAGCAATATAGAGCTCTCGAACTCGGACTTCTTGGACTCTGACCTCCCTGACTCTCTTCTCCTTCTCCCTTGTTCCCTTTCCCTCCTTCCCTTCCCCCTCTCTCCACGTGGACCACTAAGCTGGGCTGAGGTGAGCAATGTTGCCATGTAACGTGTCTGACTATATTATTGTAATATCTCTCATGCTCTCGATGACTCTAATATAATACTTATATACCTCAACCGTACAATTGTGCATTACTGAACCCAGAAGTAGTATTACTGAACCAGTGAGTTCAAGCAGCGGGTGGGGGCTGGTCCCTTTACCCCCCCAAGCGCCAATTTTAATTTAATACTACACTACTTTAATTTTTCCACTTTACAATTATTCAGAGAGATCTCCAATGAAGCTTCCTTTTAATATAATGATGGCAAAAATAAGTGCATGCATATAAATCATTAGGAAGTATTATCTATAGCAACAAATAAAGGGTCCACTTTTGGAAGTCAGATACAATATAACTTTTAGGATGAGTAGAATTTTTTTTTTTCTTAGGAAGCGATTTATCCAACTGAAAGCATCTGGATTAAATAAAGCCTTTTAGACCAAATTGATTCAATAGCAGTAGTGGGTAGGGACAATTTGTTCCAAAACTCAATTACATTTATTTGTATGTTACATAACTGGTTCATTCTTTATTTACAGTAAGTACTTGATGTTCTAGAGACCACCTGCATTTTTTTGGTTTTGTTTTGCTTTCACCTGTATTTTTTTCAAATTAGCCATTAATATTTGATGTGAATAAATCATCCTATCCCCATGTAATTTCTGTTGGTAGCACAGGTAGCCAAACCCAGGAAAATCCTTTATCTTTTCTCTGACTGTGTCCCTTTATCTGTTTTTCTGAAATTCTATTGTGTAGTTGGTTCAAAAAAGCAAAAAAATAAATACGTTTTTACTTAATACTCTTACTACATGATAAAGAATTAAATGAACTCATTGATCTCAGTGCATACTTTTATACCAGTATGTACATAACTATTCAAGTAAAGTGTCACAATTAAATGCATTCAGTAAAGTATAATTAGTCAAATAATGTCACTTTACCTGATAGTCATTAGTAAAATCACTTGAACATTGCATTCATCAGAATAATCTGTCAGGGGTACAAACTCTTTTACAGGGATATAGTCTACCGTTTGTTGAACTCTCTTCCTCTCTCTTTTCATATGTTGTTTATTTCATTTCTCTTCCTCTCACTACATCACATCATTGTTTTATTTCTTACTGTTCTTCATGACACCATCTATCATGGTTATGTTTGATCAAGGAAGGCGGTTTGCTGTGCCCATCCACTCTTTCTCTTAACCATCCTCTACCCAACCACCCTCACTCTCCAGGAGCACTCTTTTGTTTCTTCCAGTCAAAACAACTGTGTAAGGATCATCACATTATTTTGGCTTTTTCCACCATTTCCATTAGTGTATCATAAGATACATCAGTCCTTGTACACTGGTACAGATAGGAACTGAAAACACAGGGAACCCAGGACAGAAGATTCCCCCAGGACCAGGGTTGAGAGTAGCGACACCAGGAGGCCCGAGGGAAGGTGGGGTAGAAAGGGGGAACCGACCACAAGGGTCCACACACAACCTCCTGGGGGGTGGACAACAGAAAAGCGGGTGAAGGGAGACATCAGACAGTGCAAGAGATGACAAAATAGTAATAATTTATAAACCATCCAGGGCCCATGAGGGAGAAGGGAGCGGGGAGGAAAGGGGAAAATTGAGGAGCTGACACCAAGGGCCCAAGTAGAAAGCAAATGTTTTGAGAATGATGAGGACAACAAATGCACAAATGCGCTTGACACAATGGATGGATGGATTGTGATGAGTTGTATGAGCCCCCAACAAAACGACTCAAAAATATATATTATAGAATCACAAACCAGTATTATTTTCTTATTTAATAAAGAAAACCAAGAATAGACCTAAAAAAAAATACGTCAGTCCTAGATGGATGATATATAGGCAAAGTTGAGTTGGTGCCCTCCTGTTCTTTCTACAATCCATTCTCAAATCCTTCCATTCCTGAATATTCAGAATCTTCATCCCATCCCCATCTACCATAGTACCACCAATACATGTCCACAATTTGGTATTTTTTTAAATCAATTTATTGGGGCTCATACAATTCATCACAATACATAGATCAGTTGTGTACAGCACATCTACACATTTGTTGCCCTCATCATTCCCAAAATTCGGCTGCCTCTTGGGTTCCCGGAACCAGCTCATCTTCCTTTTTTCTCCCCTCCCCCTCCCTTCCTCTGCCCCCATCCCCCATGCACCCCCGATAACCTACAAATCATTACTATATCTTATATTACACTGCCCGGCTTCTCCCCTCACCCACCCCTCTGCTGCCCATCCCCCAGAGAGGAGGAGGTTATATGCAGCCCTCCACGATCAACTCCCCCCTCCCACACTCCCCCTCCCTCCAGGTATTGCCACTGTCACCCCCGGTCCCGAGTGGTTCATCCGTCCTAGATTCCCTGCGCTTCCAATTCCCACCTGTACTGCTGTGCATCATCT